TTATTTTACCTTGTTGTAGGGATGGCCATATTCACTTGGGAGTTGAATAGACACAAATTATAAAGGAAAAGAATCATAAGTTCATTTACATTAAAATGAGAAATTTTCCACATCTAAATAAATTACAAAAACTGAAAAAAAATGAAAAGTCACAGGATAGATTATTTGCAACAGAAATAACCAACAAAAGTTGAGAATCCTGGATAAAGGACTCTAAGAAATCAATCAAAAAGGACAGACTAAAACTATGAAAATGAAACATAAAAACATAGAGCTACATGCACCAAAGTGAATTTTATAAACCTAATATTGGATGAAAAACAAAAACAAACAAAATTGAGACTCAGTTTGAAGTAATGGTGTAAGTATAAACAATCTTATTTGTAGACTTTATCTTCTTCCCTTCCCCTTCCTCTACAACTCAGGGTCACTCACAGGCTGTACTGGGTGAGCATGGCTACACATCCTGATTAGCCATGAAGCAGGAGAATCCTGCGATAGGGAACTTTCAGTTTGAAAGGCTGGGACAATCCCAGGATAACCAGAAAGTACTGGTCACTGTACCTTCTATTTCCCTGCCTCCTGCCTCCCTTCTTTGGCACTAATGGAGTGGTGCTATCACTCCTCACTTTACTAGAGATGAACACTCAAACACAAGAAGAAAAATCACAAAGAATGAAGTTGATTCAACAGGCCATCCCACAGAAATCAACCATGAAATACTTTAAGCCACTGAGAAAACCCACAATAGAAACTAAGTCTTCTGTGCTAGTCTGTGGAAATCTCCATGTTTATCTTATTGTTTTTTCATCTGATCTGTTCAAAAGGACAAATTAGCTAGAGAAACTCTCTCTTTTGTGCCTGTAATGGGGCTTGAGCTCAGGGCTCTGGTCTCTGAGCTTTATTGCTCAAGGCTAGAGCTCCACTGGAGCCCAAGTTCCACTTCTGGTTTTTTTGGCAGTTAGTTGGAGATAAGAGTCTCGACTTTTCCTGCTAGGGGTGGTTTCAAGCCTTGATCCTCAGATTTCAGCCTCCTGAGGAGTAAGGATTACAGGCTTGAGCCAAGAGCACCCAGTTTAAGAGGAACTATTTCTTAAGATCCATTAATAAGGTGTGACTTCTCTTAGTTACATATATAGACAGCATCCCCCTCAGTATCAGCAACAATAATATCACCTGGGAAGAAAAACAAAGATTCTCAGGGAAACCAACTGAACTGAATTCTCAACCAATTGAAAGAACAGACTTGGGATGGAAGTCAAGAACTTGTGAGTATACAACCCCTTCAAGATGATTCTTTTCTTTTTTTTTGTCGGTTGTGGGGCTTGAATTCTGGGCCTGAACGCTGTCCCTCAGCTTTTCAGCTCAAGGCTAGCGCTCTACCACTTGAGCTACAGCGCCACTTCCGGTTTTCTGGTTGTTTATTGGAGATAAGTTTCTCGGACTTTCCTGCCCAGGAGGACTTTGAACCTCAATCCTTCAGATTTCAGCCTCCTGAGTAGACAGGATTACAGGTATGAGCCACCCGCGCCCGGCTCAAGATGATTCTTATGTACATAGAAAAAGCTTGAGAACTTCTGAGAACCCACACCAGCTCTGTCGTATTTGTGATGGACACACAATGGAATAGTAAGATTCCCCAAGAATTCAGGTAGTTATGTCCTTTTATAATATAACTACTCAGGTGAGGTGAAGCAACAGGATCTTGCTACTGAAATAACTCTCAACAGTAATTATTTCATACTGTAACCAGATTCATGACACCTCAGCATGGGGGCATGAAACTTTCGAGCAAACCTTCCCACTTAACTTTCCTACATTGGCTCATTAATTAATATCATGAATTATGAATTACTATAGAAATAGTCTTCGCTGAACTGACCCTCATCACTTGACTGCCCTGCAATTCTGCAAAGCTTCAGCTAGTGTCACAAAAGACACTTTTATTACTTTAACAGCAGAAGCTGGCATGGTGACACCTCTGTGATTTTAGCTTCTTTGGAGGTGGATATTGGGAGGATCATGTTCAAGAATAGCCTCGGCAAAAAAAAAAAAAAAGAACTCACTTCAATCAATAAACGTGGTATGTGGTATAGACCTGTAATCTCAGTCATGTGGGAGGTACAGGAAGGAAGATCAAAGGCTAAAATCAGCACTGGGTAAAAAAATGCAAGACCCTATCTGAAAAGAACTAAATCAAAACAGGTTGGGGGCATGGTTTAAGTGGTACAATATTGGCTTAGCAAGGCATGAGTACAAATCCCAGTATAACCTTAAAAAAAAAAAAAAAGGAAGAAAAATAGGAAAACAGGTTTTTATGGCAGAGTGCATGCTTAGCAAGAGCCAGGCCCTAGTTTCAATCCAAAAACAAAACAAAACCCAAACAAAGGCAAAAGTGGAAAAATAAGCCATATTTTATGAAGGTAACACCAAAACAATTAGCATATGATGAAATCATGAAAAAATCCAATCTTCTTAACTTCATTTTAAAAATGCTCTTATTTTCTAAATAAATCCTAAAAGAAATCTGTCTGGAGCCTTGGCCTCTAAATCGAAAGAACTCGTTCCAGACAGTTCATAGTCATTACCTTTTTTTCTGCTAGGTTAATAAAAATAATGATCTGCTCAAAAAAATAAAAAGAGAAGAAGAAGCATGCCATTATAAAAGACATACATACTTAGGTCAAGTTGTCAAATAAATAAAATTAAGCAATAATATAGGGATACTTTTGTGTATGGTAAACTATACAGAAAAGACAATTACAAAAATTTTAAAAATAAAAATAAGACTGGCGATGTAGCTTCATGGTAGTGTGTTTGCCCAGCAAGCAACACAATGCCCCAGTTTTAATCCCCACCATTGCAAGAAGAAAAAGAAGTCATAAAACAAAGGCTAAATATGTAACTCAGTGGTAGAGCGCTTACGAGTTTTTGCTTTATACATTTTTATTGTATACATGTTGCAAAAATAAATAGATGCATTTATACAACTCAAGAGAGAAAAGGGCTCACAGGCTCCCTCAAGTCCACAAATACTGAGTTGACTGTGTTAAATTCTGTGAGATCAGAGAAAAGGGAAATCTTTAAATTATAAAGTGATGTGGGAAGGAGGACATGTTGAAAAAAGGAAAATGAAAGATTAGAAAGAAGTAGAAGAGATGTTAAATCTCTGGGTAAGTTTATACTCTGGCTTGCAAGAGATCAACAGGCAGAACTAACAAATGCCCAAGCTTGGTAAGGAATGTAATGGTGTCTGAAAAGCACGTTCACTAAGAAGACACTACATGTAACAAGATGCCAGCTAGTAAATAATCTGTCCCCAAAGAAATAAAACAATTTACCCTTCCACCATAGTGCTGGCTCCTTGCCCCTTCCTGAAGAAAGATGTTTAAGTGGTTAGAAACCTGCAAACACCAATTTTCTGAGTGCAAAAAGTATACGTCATGTCTTGGCAAAATATTATCATAGAACCTTGAAAAGTGTCTGCCAGCCTTGAGATGTTATGGAACTGGTAAAAAGTTACTAAAATGCCATTTCCATCAGTCTTGGAAAAAATACACTTAACTGGATGATGAGCTTATTTCTGAATCATATTTCATCTGGATTCTAACACAGCTCCCAAAAGTTCAGTTCCTTGTAAAAGGGACTATTTTTACTGAAAATTGAGAATTGATTGTAATCTAATGAAGGTCCATTTTTGCAAAGCTTTTTCATTTTATTCTTGAAGGAATATTTACAAATATCCAACAATTATTATTTCACTAGATCTGGTTTTACAGTAGATAAAGCTATCATCATCAAGATTACTGGTTTCCATTGAGACAGTCAAATGCCTTATTTTGATGAAAGCCCCTGTGAGGGCCTTCAAGATTCGACTAAAGTCATCCAATTGGCCATTTCTTCATGCTTTCTGCTCTAGTTCTTTCCTTCCATGGTATTTTTCTCCCCTTCATTTATTCGCTCCCTACAGCCCCATCTCTTCTTTAAGCTTCCAGCTTTCTCTCAGTGATGAAGGGACCACATAGAAACCTTGTCCAACGCTTGAGTACAACACTTGGTAGGTTATTCATTCTAACACCTGACAGAGGCTTCCAATGATCAAATGATCGTTTTCAAATCAACCTACCTCACCCCTTCACCTCCCATGCCTGTCAGCCCCCAGGGCTTGTTCTTGCTTCTTTCTGGGTTTCAGACAACTCTGGTTCTCCAGTTGGAACCAAAGGCCAAAGAATTTCCTCTCTATTATGTGGATTGGAAAACTGGCCCAGGAAGAAGCAAGGGGGGGGGACCCTAAGTCACTTGTTCACTTGGGCACCAAACCACTTGATCCCTGCAGCCTTTGTGTACCCCCAAAAACACAAGATCAGAAAAGTAATTACCGGCCAGACCACGATCCCCCCAATCCGAATGAATTACCTCTTGAAATCATGTTAAGTTCCTTTCACAAGACAACTCTTAAAGGAGTCCCAGCGAAAACTGGTGAGCTCAGTCCATGGGGGAGGGAGGGAGGGAGGGAACCTGAGGTCCGAAGTTCAACAGACAAAGAATCAAGACCGGACTCGGCCGTGAGCACGTGGGTGGACCTGGTTGGGGCGGTGCAGGCAATGCCACTGGGTGGGGTCGTTGTCACCCCACTTCCCCGGAGGGCTCCTGGCCTCTGACTCACCCAGAGATAAGGAATCACGCAGGCCGCTGGGGCCCAGCCGCCAGCTCTGGGATTTCACGTGCACAGGAATTTTAGGAGTTTCGGCTCCAGAATCACCACACAGCCGCTGGCAAGCTCCTGACCGGGGCCCCAAAGTGTGGGGGGCGGGGGGAAGGTGAGGATGGCTGAGGCACTGACCCGCCTTTCCCTAGCAGGAGTTCCAGGTGCCGGTCCCCTCCCGGCGGGCGAAGGTACTGCGGCCCGGCAGGGCGGGATCTGAGGGACCCCGGGGCACCCAGCCTCGGGTCCCCCCGCGTCCCCCGGCCCCCGACCTGCGTCCCCCCCCGCCTCTCACCTGCGGCCGAGTGGCTGGAGATGGCCCGGCCCCGGGCCCGGCGCGGCCCCCCGAGCTCGCGGCGCTCGCGCAGCTCTTCCTCCTCGTCGTCCCGCCGCCGGCCCTCGGCCATGGGCGAGCTGCGGCCCCCCGCGCCCGGGTCCGCCCGGGTCCGCGGGTCCCCGGCGCCCCGCGCCTGCGCCCCCGGGGCGGCCAGGCGGGCTCGGAGCCCAGGTGGCGGCGGTGACGGCGCGGTCGAGATCCACCACCCCGGCGGCCCTCCACCTGCGGCGGGCGGAGAGCAGCTGCGCGGCCGGGCCGCTCGCCCAGTCTCCCCGCCTCCCGGGCGCGCGCGGGCGGCCTTTCCCCCGGCTTTCTCCCAGCCCTCCTTCCCTTTCCTCTTCCCCTCCCCGCCCCGCACACTGGCGGCCCGGGAGGCGAGCGATCCGGCCGGCGCAGGCCGGCCTCGCCTCCTCCTAGGGGAGGGGACAAACCGGCCACGGAGGCCGCACCCGCCAGGAACACCCCCCGGACCCGAACAACGTGTGCAAAATAAATAACCGGGCTAGGGAGGGGGACGGGGAGCAGGCCTGGCCTCTTCCTGCCCTTTCGCAGGATCCCCGAGCCAACAGGAAACCTATTTGCCTGATAAAAACAAAGGAGGAGGAACCTGCCCCGAGGCCGACTTGGGGTGACCGGGCGACGGCGGGGGGCTGCGGAACTTCTTTCCCAGCAAACTTGGCTGGGAGTCGAGGCAGCCCCTGCTCAGCCGTTTTCTCTTTGCCTTTCCTTTCCCTCTTTAAATTCTGCCGTGCCACACTGCACCGAGGATGTTTGGAGCCGGGATAGCACTCCGTGTGATAAATATCAGCATGCATTTGTCCAAACGCACTGAAGATTCGACACCAAGTGGGAACTTCAATCCAAACGATAAGCTTTCGGTGAAAAAGATTTGTTAGCCAGGTGTTGGTAGTGCACGTCTGTAATCCCAGATGCTCGGGAGGCTGAGATAGGAATATCAGAGTCTCCCGTCAGCTAGAGCCAAAGAGAGCGACTCTGTCAGGACCACTAAAGACAAAAGGATTTGGGGTGTGGCTTAAGTTCTAGGGAGCTTTCTGGGAAGCTCTAAGTTCAAATCCAAAAAGAGGGGGGAAGGGAGGAAGGAAAGAAGGAAGGAAGGGAGGGAGGAAGGAAGGAAGGAAGGGAGGAAGGAAGGAAAGAAGGAAGGAAGGAATAGACTTTAAAAAGTCTATAGCTATTTTAATGATAAATAAAGCTGAAATGGGTGTGTCTCAGTGGTAGAGTTTGAGCATGTCTGGTATGCATGAAGCCCTAGTTCCATCCCTAACACCACAACATAAATGAATAAATAGATTCACTGTATTCCAGTTAGTTTGGGGGTTAGGAACTGACAATAAGCACTAGAGGCCAGGAAGAAAATATGTTTCAGGAGCTCATACCTGGTGGGGGTACTGGCTCTAAAGTCAGAACTGTGTAATTTGAAGCACTTAGTATGGCCCTTACTGCCCCCCCCAACATATTTTCAAAGCTGACAAGGGCTATGTACCAAGTGTTATTGTGTGTACCCTATAATATACACCTAAGATCAGTGGGTACATATATGTGCTTTCATACAAAGGATCAGATTCTGGAATTGCACTAACACACACACACAAAATACCCAAGCAGCAGCAGAAACATTACCAGACATGAAAGCTTCCAACTCTCTTGCGTGGGATGAGCAGGCCTTCTTTATCTTTAGCCTCTGGCTCTATTTCTGAGAGTCTGAGAGAGCTCCTAATGCTGTGCATGTAAGAGAGAAACAGGAAAGGAGACAGGGTCACTGCAAACAGAGTGGCCCATGCAGTTTCTTTGCCTTCCCGCCATGCTTGCTGCTGCTTTAGGAAGTCTGGTTTTTAAGGAGATAAAAACGGCAATGGATTTTGAGGAACTGAGGTTGAATCCACAGAGAGATTTTTATCACTGCATGAACAGTTAAATAAGTTGACACTCAGAATCAGAAATAAAACCAGATTGGGCAAAAGGCTTCATCTGTGAGAAAGAAACTTCTACGATGTGATCATCTGAAGTCTTCTGTCACACACTTAATGTGATTCATAAGGAGGTAGAAGGAAGAGAAAGTGTTCAGAACATAAAACGTGGCATGTGTCACAGCTTGCAGCCAGACAGGAAACTGGATCAACATTTGGTTTAAGTGACTAAATTATTACAAAATATCTCTACTACATTAACGACACTCTCTAAGGACTAACAATGAATAAGTAGTTATAACGAGTGTTACTAACAGCTGAGAGACATATGCTTCTGTCCTAAGTGTTTTACGTAGCTTTATCATGTATTTCTCACTATGATCCTACAAGTCAGATACTGTTTGTAATACTGTTTTATAGAAAAGAAAATTGAATAACACAGAAGATCTAATGACAAGAAGCCATGTAATGTCCAATAAAGAAAAGAGAAAACATTCAAGAAAGGCAATATTTGAGAAGAAAATGATAGGTTTGGAAATGTAGATTAGCACCATGGGGGGGGGGGTAGGAAAAAAGAGAAAAGGAAGATAATGATGGAAACTTAGCCAGAATTAATAAAAACCATAAGCCTTCAGATTAATGAAAGACTATTCAATTAACTTTCAGTCAGATCTCTAAAACAACACTACAGTAGTCCCTCGCTATATTGCAAGTAGCAATAAGTGAGCCACTATATAGCAAAGGATGACCACATAATGCTGATACTTCACGGTTTTCACCTATCCCAGGGGTCTCTGAAAGGTTAACTCCAACAGTGGGTGAGGGATCACTGTAACACAAAATTATTTACTGAGTACCTAACAGGTGCCGTTCTACAAGTCCATTATATAGGTTATGTCATATAATATTTACAACAACCTTCTAACCATTACACTGCTTTAGAGATTTAAAAAAAAACAACAGGTCAATTAGCTGTCCTAAGGTCTCAGAGCCTACCAAGGATGGAGTCAGATTTCACTCTCAGACAACCTAATTCCACAGAATGTGCCTTCACATCATTTCTTTGAAAAAATCTTCTCTTCGGGTATGGCAGCTTTTTTATTATTTATTTGCCAGTCCTGGAGGCTTGAACTTAAGACCTAGGCACTATCCCTGAGTTTCTTTAACTCCACCACTTGAGCCACAATACCACTTCCAGCTTTTTCTGTTTATGTGGTACTAAGGAATCAAACCCAGGGCTTCATGCATGCTAGGCAAGCACTCTACCACTAAGCCACATTCCCAGCCCTTAACTTTTAATTTTGACATGGCATTCGTGTGTGTGTGTGTGTGTGTGTGCGTGTGTGTGTGCGTGTGTGTGTGTGTGTGTGTGTGTGTGTGCGTGTGTGTGTGTGTGTGTGTGTGTGTGTGTGTGTGTGTCTGAAGTTCCCTTTTCTATAAGACTCTCTCATATTGGATTATACTCCCACCCTACTCCAATATGGCTTGTTTTAATGATATCTGCAGCAAATGTATCCCTCAGATCACAGTGCCTACCTTTGTTGATTCTAGGCCCATGGTAAAGCAGAAGATCAGGGCAGCAGAAGCATGTGGCAGCATGTCCATTTCATGGTGGACAGGAAACAAAAATGAAAGTAAGGAAGAGCCAAGGAAAGATATGGCCCCTAAGACATGTCACCAATGACCTAGTTCCTCTAGCTAGGTCCCACTTCCAAGGTTCCCAGAAATTCCCTTACCAGCTGGAGGACCAAATCTTCTACAATGACCCTATAAGAGAACATTTTATATTCAGACCCCAGCAGATATGCATTATATGAATTTCATTCAACATCTGTAGTCTCATCTACTAAGGAGGCAGGGGCAGGAAGAGGGAAAGAGTGAGGGCAGCTAGGTGACATCAGTGAGACAATACTCAAAAATAAAATACAAACAGAAAGGCTGAGATGTCTCAATTGGTAGTGTGCTTGACTAGCATATGTAAGACCCTATAAAGATTACATTCCATGCTGAGAGCCAGTGACTCATACCTGTAATCCTAACTACTCAGGAGGATGAGAACTGAGGATCAAAGCTAACCCAGGCAGGAAAGAATGTGAGGCTATCTCCAATTAACCATCAAAAAGCCAGAAGTGGAGCTGTGGCTCAAGGTACAGCGCTAGCCCTGAGCAAAAAAAAAAAAAAAAAAAAAAGCTCGGAGACAACACCCAGACCTTGAGATCAAGCCCCAAGGACCAGCACACACACACACACACACACACACACACACACACAAATTGCATTCCACAAATTTTTAATACTTACTCTGTGCTAGACATTGAAGATGTGTAACTAGAGGATCTTGTCCCCACTGACACAGAGAGATGGAGAGATCATTTTCAACACAATGGGCTGTGCACTTGCTCAGAGGAAGCACATGTAACCTGATGCTACGGGTAGATTGGGGGGGGGGGGCGTGCAGAATATCTTACTGGAGAAGGTTATGCCTGAACTGAGTTTGTAATGTAAGCAGACATGAACCAGGCAAAGAGAAGGACACCTGAGAAGGATCAAAATAGTAGGTTCAGCAACTTACAAGTAGTTGAAATTGCTGTGAGCAAGAAAAAGAAAAGTTGGGGAGAGGGAGAGAGAAAAATGGAGGAGGGGGGTAACAAGTTAGATAAGAAATGTAGTCATTACCTTACCTATGTAAGTGTAATCCCTCTGCACATCACCTTGACAATAACATTAAAATTTTGAAAAAGAAAAAGAAAAGTTGTAGGGCATCAGAGACAAGGTGACATGGTATGTAGAGATGGGGGCAAAGCTCAGGGGTAGAGAACTTGCCTAATATGTACACCCAGGGTCACTCTTTTCATTCCTCTTCGTACCAGACCCGTCTTTGGGCAGCATTGTTGCTAGCAGTTAGGTTGTTTTCCTGGAAAGGTTCTGAGTGCTGGTGGTAAGGGGTAATTTGGAAATGGAGATTTGAGCAGGCATAGGGAGAGGGGGGGAGCATGGAATGGATACTGAGAGGATAGGAGCTTTCTCAGGCTGCCCACCATGGCTACTTTTCTACAACACAGCCTCTGTCCACTGCAGCCCCCTACTTCACTGGTTCAGCTCCCAGGATGTCACCTCCAAAGTCCCAGGAGAGGATACAATGGGAACATGTGCTATTTATTTTTGGAAGTTAATGTTGTCTTTCTGCCTGTGCCTCTAGAAGTATAGATATATACCGAGAGTAGGCTCAATGGGTTCCATTGCACCGAGCGCTTAGTGGATGGGCTTTATTTGGGAAGTCAAATCCTCCATTATCTGCCATGTTGAAGGTCTCCTCGGATGCTGGGTAACCCTAGTCATCTGTTCATGTTTAAGAATGGGATAGCACAA